GAGCCGAAGGACATTCATGTCATGAGCCCAAAAAATGCCGTTGGAACCACTCCGTAACAACACTAAATCCCGAAATACCTCAGCCGCATAAACCACTAAAAGGCTGAGGCGTCATCCTTGCATCTTAGAGGGAAATCCCCAGTGTGTCCAACATATTTGGGTTCCATTCGAATTACTTTTGGTGCCAATTTGAGGTTGGTGTCGTATGGGGCTACCGCGGGATATCTTCTGGATCCTGCAATTGAGCATACACAGGGCTCCTTTTCAAATATTGGTGAGTGTGTGCAGAGTTGGGTGTTCTTTTGGGCCGGGAGGGGGTGTGATAAACCATACTTCAGTCATATGGTGTCTACTTGGAGTCTAGTTTAGGGGTCCCCGCCGATTTTCGTAAACCCCCATATGGCAAGCCTGCCAGCCGGGCCTGGGATGCTGGACGGCACAGTTCGCCTCTGGCTTCTCCGATTGCGACGATGCGAGAGGCCTGCCGTGATTCGCCTTTCTGTCTACTGTGTGGGGGTCCTCATCCCATTGATTGTCTGGGGGTTGGTGGTGAGCTCCCAAGAAGACGAGTTTGATATTCTGACGTTGGGCAAAGCGAGCAGGTGGATGGACGGAAAGGTCCCTCCCCTGCCGTATGGAAGTGATCTCCATGGAGACTCGGTGCTTCGCGCTTCTGTTCGCCGCGCTCTGGGTAGTGGCCCAGGTGGTGAGATCGAAACCTGGACCAAAATTGTTGGGGGCGGAGCGATCAACGTTCTTTACCGCGTGACACTCCGAAGTGGGCAGAGCGTGATCGTAAAGCTTGGGTCGCCATGGTGGCGTGGGTGCGGCAAAACTGTTGGTGAGGCGGAGGTTATGCGCTATGTGGCAAAGTACACGACGATTCCTGTGCCTCGGGTTCTGGCTGCCCTTCCGGCGGTTCACGGCAGATTCGACACTGCGGTCCACCCCGAAACAAAGGCGCATGGCGGAGAAGGGCTGGGGAACCTCGAGCTGCCAGAGGTGATGGTGATGGCAGTTGCACCCGGCCAGAAGCTGAAGGATGTTCTTGCGCGACCACTGAGCGAGGTCGGCCGAGATGTACGGGAAAAGCTGATCACGCAGTGGGTTGGGGTCTTCAGGCAGTTGCGTGAGCTTCATTTCAACATGTACGGGAGCTTTGGCGCCGACATGCAGGTCGTGCCTTTGGCTACAAACGGTGGCTGCAGTATCCTTGGCCCAATGGCATCCTATGGCAAGTACGCAGCAGGAAAAGTGGCAATGTTCCTGCCTCTAATCGAGGGTGGCGCCTGCCGTGGCGATCGGTTCCAGAAGTACGTGCCACAGCTGAAATGTCTTGCTGATGAGATGGCTCGATACCCCGGGAACGCTGCACACGACGCCCTACGACCTGTGCTGCTGCACACAGACCTGTCGATCCGTAACATCCTCGTGGATCCGGATCCTGACAATCCACGCATCACGTCTGTGCTGGACTGGGAGTTTGCTGTTTCAGGGCCTGCTGAAGAGGAGTTCAGCTTTCCAGCAACACATGCAGGGCTGTCGACCGACGACCGCAAGGTGTTTGACAGGGTCGCGCAAGCGCAGGGCGTGACGTTGCCTCGAGATGTGTTGTCGCGGGCAGATCACGTCAGTGCCTATTGGGCTATGATCGTCTTTTGCCACTCGCACGTGTGGCGTGACGATCGGCCGTCTGGTGACGTAACACACGAGGCGGAGGTGCGAGATGCGGAGAAGTTGCTGGACAGCATTCTAGAAAGGGCCAATTGCTCAACACAAGACCACCAGTTGCTGCCATAACAAAGGAGCATACTCATGCCATATGGCACGACAGCTTAGCCGGAAGACTCTTGCTGAGATCATTGCAAGACCCAACAAGGCTCATTGTGATTGTCACGGTTCTTTATGGAATACTTCATAAAGGAGTCAGAGTTGTCCAAGAAAGACATGTTCCCGCTATGACCGAGTTAAGATGAACAGCTATACACTATCATGTTGAAATTGCAAGTTCACTCAACATAGGGTGGATGATATGACGGGAGGGATCTGAGTACCATCTCGTATTTGTTTTTAGGCTCGCTCTTCCGGGACCTCGTCGTTGGCTGCTGTTGTCTCTTTCTGGGATTCCCGGCTGCGCTGGGGAGTTGGCTGTCTCAGAAGCATACGGGCTTGGTATTCTGGACAGATCTTAAGTGGAGTGAGGAGGGCGAAGGGGGAATGAGGCAAAGATGGGCTTCTTGAACGAGTAGGCCGAAACGTACAGATCTGTCTTAGACTTCACTTGATCCAAATACCCGAGTAGAGATTTCATGGCCAGGCGAAAGCACTCGCGTGAATATAATATGGACTTTGATGCCATCTTTACTTGTCAAGACGTAAATTCCTAAGTCTGAACGCGAATCCATGATCCCTTGGAATGCCACCAAGATGTCCGAGCAACTCACACTTTTAAGACCCTCTAGCTCTAGCCTAAAGCCCTCACAATTCTCGCCTGATGGCTGGTGCAGGAGGGACGGGAACCAAGGGAAGGGAGAAACGTCATCAAGGTTCGGACCTGCGTACACGAAACGAATGATCCGGCAGTTTTGCCGAGTGGCTTTGGGACATGCCTGCTGGCGAACGGATACTGGGCCGGGGCCACTGACTTGGCGACGCTGCTGAGTAGCGGCGCTAG